GGCATTGCTTTGCCTCGTCTCTACGGTGGCGATAGTGAACGCCGGTGATCCATACTTCTTCTATACATGGAACGTGACTTATGGAACCGCTTCACCTCTCGGTGTTCCTCAAAAGGTGATTCTTATCAACGGTCAGTTTCCTGGTCCTAACCTTAACTCAACATCTAACAACAACGTTGTCATCAATGTCTTCAACAACCTCGACGAGCCTTTCCTTTTGACCTGGTACTTTTCCACATTCTTTGTTTACTTTCTGATCATTCTAAGTCTAGTATGTTTTGAGTCCAACCCTTTGCGATCCTCCTTGTAAAGCTTGAGCCAGTCTACTATTAAAGCTTGGGCCACAAGCCGGTCCGCGGTTAACCTTAGAAAACTGGCGGGTTTAGCGGATTTTGCCCAAACCATGTAGCTTTAATCGGATTTATTGATTTAAGGCAAGGGTCGGACGGGGCCATTCCTTAGATTTTTGAGATATTTTAACATGACAATTTTGTTTTCCTACACGTTTATCTCTTTTGCCCATAATTGAATCAATAAAGGTATTAAATACTATAAAATTCCAATAGTTAAACAAATGAACTATTTTATTAGTGAAAATGTCAAAGCCACACTTAATTTGAAACGGAGAGGATATGTGATATGAGTATTAATGCTGGATTGTGGATGCAGGAGCGGAATCCAACACAGGAAGAACTGCTGGCAAGATGGTGTGGCTGGGACTTCATGTCCAATCCCAGCAGGACAAAACTTTACTTACCATTTCCAACCTAAGGACCAGATTGGTTCCTACTTCTATTACCCAACCACTTCTCTCCACCGTTTTGCTGGTGGTTTTGGTGGTCTCCGTGTCAACAGCCGTCTTCTAATCCCGGTCCCTTATGCTGATCCTGAAGATGACTACACTGTCCTTCTCGGTGACTGGTACACAAGTGGCCACACCACTCTCAAGAACTTCCTTGATAGTGGACGCACTCTTGGGTTACCTAACGGTGTTTTGATCAATGGAAAGTACGGAAAGGTGGGAGGAAAGAACGAGCCTTTGTTCACAATGAAGCCTGGAAAGACTTACAAGTACAGGCTTTGCAATGTTGGGTTTAAGTCTACTCTTAACTTCAGGATACAAAACCATAAGATGAAGCTTGTGGAGATGGAAGGTTCTCATGTTCTTCAAAACGACTATGACGCACTCGATGTTCACGTTGGCCAGTGCTTTGCAGTTCTTGTGACTGCTAATCAGGCAGCTAAAGACTACTACATGGTTGCATCAACTAGGTTCCTCAAGAAGGAGTTAAGCACTGTTGGTGTGATCCGTTACGCAGGAAGCAATGTTCAAGCTTCAACTGAGCTCCCTAAGGCTCCTATTGGTTGGGCTTGGTCTTTGAACCAGTTTAGGTCATTCAGGTGGAACCTTACCGCTAGTGCTGCAAGGCCTAACCCACAAGGTTCATACCATTATGGAAGAATCAACATTACCCGTAGCATCAAGCTTGTTAATTCTAAGAGCTTGGTGAACGGTAAAGCCCGGTTTGGATTCAACGGTGTATCACACGTTGATACTGAGACTCCTTTGAAGCTAGCTGAGTACTTCCAGATGGCAGAGAAGGTGTTCAAGTACAATGTCATCAAGGACGAGCCAGCATCCAAAATCACAACATTGACCATACAACCTAATGTTCTCAACATCACATTCCGTACCTTTGTTGAGATCATTTTCGAAAACCACGATAAGAGCATGCAATCATTCCATTTGGATGGTTATTCTTTCTTCGCAGTCGCGTAAGCCCAAAACTTTACTTTTCACTATATATATTCTAACTATCGGAGACAATACTTGATCCGCAAGATACACATCTTTCTCATCTCGCTCTCCAAATTATTAATACTAAACTTTGTGTGTTTTCAGTTCTGAGCCAGGGAGGTGGACACCTGAGAGCAGAAAGAACTACAACTTGCTCGATGCGGTTAGTAGACACACAGTGCAAGTCTACCCCAAGTCTTGGTCAGCTATACTCTTGACATTCGACAATGCCGGTATGTGGAACATTAGGTCTGAGAATTCGGAGAGAAGATACCTTGGAGAACAATTGTATGTGAGTGTTCTCTCACCCGAAAAATCGCTTAGAGACGAGTACAACATTCCCCTCAACACTAACCTCTGTGGCATCGTCAAGGGCTTGCCATTGCCTGCAAGCTACACCTAAATTATTTTTTAAACTACTCCACATTTATGATGTATTATTAATTAATAATAATTGACCCTTTCTAATTTAAGTGTGTAATTTGTATACTACTAATCCCATTTCTTTGCATACACTATCATCATTAACCATAATCATAGACCAAATTTTGCTTCCTCATATCACACAAAACAGTGGCAATAAACAACATTCTGAAATAAACCAAGGTAATAAGTTGTACATCTAGCATCACAACTTTGATTTATTGGTAAAAGAATTAGTACAAACAAACATTTTACACAATTAAAATGTATAGAGCTTTCAACAGATAGATATCCCAAGTATAATGTAGCTCCATATTTTATTTTATTTTGCCAAGTTGTATAAATCGAATTTTATGCATTCGAAATTCAATATTTTTTTTCAATATATAAACAAATAATGAAAAGAAGACAACTTTCTCTAAAAAGACAAGTAAAAACCTTTTGCCTTTACC